GGAAAGGGTAAAGGGTAAGCTAAACAGATTCTCATGTGGGGTCCTACCGTCGGAGTAATTGGAGTGAAACGCATGCTCAGGGAATGGGGATGCGAGTCCAAAGCCGTGTGGGCCGACCCAGAAGAAGGCAAAGTCTGGGTAGGCGATGTCGTCGCTGTTCACGAGCACGTCGATGAGAACAAACTGTCTGTGGACTACGGGCCTGGTTGGAAAGAGTGGCTCACGGACCCGGCCTTCCCCGAGCACGCCACCCGCGTTGCCATGTTGAGCAGCAAGCTGGAAAACGCTCCTACCAAGGGAGGCGGGAAAGCAGCGTTCAAGGGAAAGGCGAAGGGTGGCAAGGGAACGGGCTCACATCGCAAATAGGGGCGCCAGCGGTGCGCAAGCAGAGAAGTCTCACTTCAGCTACTTGGGGATGGTCAGCCTTGCCTTCCACATCCCCCGGGAGCTCCTGATGATCTCATTGCGGGGCAGAGGTTTTCTGGCGAAGCCAATGTGCCTCTTCCTGCAGTCCGGGGTGGACGCTTACGCCCCGTAATTGTCGAGTTCAATATCGCATCGTGGAACATTGAAGGCTACGCGGAAGCTAAGCCAATTGAATTGGAAAGCGTTATGAACCATAATCAGACTGGGATCCTTTGCGCGCAAGAGACCTGGCGGTTCAAATCCGATACCTTCGTCACCGAGACTGGGTTCTTGATTGTCTTCTCCGGCGGGGCAGAGGACGATTCAGAGCGCGCTGGAGTAGGGTTCCTGGTGGCGCCATGGGTGCGGGGATCGGTCGTGGGCTTCTGCCGGGCTACATCCAGAATGGCGCCCTTGAAGCTGCGAGCACCGGGTGGGAGGGCCGCCATCTTCACCGCCTACGCGCCCCACAATGGCAAACCCTTCGAACAAACAGCGGCGCGCGTTCTTCCATGATCTTGCAGAATTTGTTGAGTCCAGATCCGCTCATGGACCCGAGCTTGTGTTCGGCGACCTGAACGCAAAACTCTTTCGCAGACTCGATGGAGAGCAGTCTGTCGTTGGCCCCCATGCGTTGCTCTGCCCGCAGGGGGGCTGCAAGGAGGACGCCAACAGACACTTGCTCATGGAGACGTGCGCGCGTCTGAAAATGTGTTTGGCAAACACATTATTTGGCGTTCATCTCGATCGCTTGGCGACGTCCTACAACGTCGGCACCCTGGCGGGCACGGATGTTGGATGGCAGACGCACTCGCAGATCGATTTTCTCGTGCGCGAAGAAAGCTGGCTCCACAAAGTCAGAGGCGTGCCTGCGCGCCGGGAGGTGCCGTTATCCTCCCGCCACTTCCTGCTGCAGGCGCCTGCGCTGCTAGACGTTGACAAATGCGATCGAGAACCTGCGCGCCGTCGAGATCGCAGCCTTCTCTCGCAGCCGTGGGCAAGACGTGATCTGGCCATGCACTTCGCAGACTCTCTGGAAGCATTCGAAGACGAGGCGCTGGACCAAAGTGACGTGAACTTGGGATGGTGCCGCTTGGTTGACAGTTTCAAGCACGCTGAAGAATGCTCCCTGCCGCTAGAGACCCAAAGAAAACAAAAGCCTTGGATTAGCAATGATACCCTCGAGCTGATGAGCATGCGATCGCAGGCCAGACTCGCCGGTGACGTCGTGCGCGAGATCAGATGGTCGGTCGCAAGGGACAGGGCTCGATGGCTAGAAGAGCTAACACAGAATGGAGACTGGGCGCAGATCCGTAGACTACGACGGGGGTTTTGCCCCGCACAGGGTCGGCTCCGCGACAGCGCTGGCGAACTGGTCGACAGCGAGAGCAGGGCCGACACGCTGGCAAAACATTTGGAGACTGTCCAGTGGGCTGTTCGGCCAACCACAATGAGCGAAGAGCTGCCGGTGAATTTAAGTGCCATCACGGAGGGTGAAGTCTCTCGGGCTGCAAAGAAATTGAAAAACGGTCACGCTGGCGGCCTCGATGATCTGCCGCCCGAGTTTTGGAAAGCCGCTGCAGAGGACGGAGTGCCTGCGCTCGCTTGGGTCACCAGATTCTGCAATATGGCGTGGGCGCAGGGTCGCGCCCCTGACGCCTGGCACAAGGCGCGCGTCCGCACGATCTACAAAAAGGGCGACCCCGCATCGTGCGATAACTACAGACCGATATGCCCGCTCCCCATTGGGTACCAGGTATTCGCGATGATCTTGCTGCAGAATCTGAAGGACGCTGGGGCCGAAGACCGTATCTGGCCAACTCAATTTGGGTTTCGGTCTCACAGAGGCACCGCAGATGCGATCTTCGTGGCCAGACGAGTCATAGAGGACGCATGGGCAACCAAGCGCGGCAGCACTATGCTTTTGGCTTTAGACTGGGCGAAGGCATTCGACTGTGTGGCGCCGGACGCCTTATCAACCTCGCTCAACAGATTTGGGTGCCCAGACAAATTCGTCGACATGGTCAAGTCAATTTACAATGCCAGGACGTTTGTGGTGTCGGATTTCGGTGCATCATCCGCTGAACGGGATCAGTGTTACGGCATTTGCCAAGGGTGCCCCTTGTCCACTTATCTGTTCACCATTGTGATGACGACTTTGATAGCAGACGCACACAAGGAACTCCGGTCTCGTTTGCCAGATCTTCCCGATGCGCACTTCGTCCGGGAATTAATCTACGCCGACGACACTCTGCTCCTCGATGCTGATCCCGTCGTAGTGGGCGAGCTGATGGCCTGCGTCGAGAATTGCGGCAAGCATTACGGGTTGTGCCTGAACTGGAGGAAAGTGGAATTGATGAAGGTCCGCTCTAACGCGCACCTGCAGAACAGCGCGGGCGTTCAAGTGCAAGAAAAGGAAGCTCTGACTTACCTCGGCACCCAGCTCGCGGCGGACGGACGATGCGGATCTGAGCTGAACAGGAGAATCGGCATGGCCAAACAAGATTTCAAAGCATTAAAATCGGTGTGGTTACATTCTTCGTTGAGCAGAGCGAGAAAAGTAGAAATATTCAACGCGCGCATTGTCGCCAAGCTTGTGTACTGTCTATTTGCAGCATGTCTTAATCAGGCAGAACGTAGAAAAGAATTGACGGCTTCCAGGCACGCTGCTTGAGATCTATATTTCGGGTCTCATCTTCTTATATCAGTCGCGTGTCGAACAGCGCCGTGCTAGGCATGGCCAGTGAACGGCCGCTCAGCGAGCTCATCGTCAAACGACAGATGACTTTCTTTGGGCAGCTCGCTAGACGCGCGGGCAACGATCCATTGAGACAGTCGGTATTTGAACCAGGCAGTCTAACTCTCAAGCAACCGACAGGTCCCCGGAAGAGAGGGCGACCCCGGCAAACGTGGGGAAGAATGGTCATGAACAGTTGTTTGGACGTTGCTGGCACCCGTGCCCGTCTTGCTGACTACTTCCGCCCGGAGGGCGGTGCAGCACCGGCATGGGAGTCAGCTGTCCGCGCATGGCACCTTTGATCTCTGTGCTGTAGCATACTCTCTTGCTTGCGCACGGTCTGGTGCAAGGCGACCTGACTGACTGACTGACTGTGAAACTTCAACAACAACTACTACAACAACAACGGCTCCCGCCTGATACTTCCTCACAATGTATTGCCAAATCGCGCTCTTGCGCAGGGCTGCCTCACAATGTATGCAGGAACCGCGCTCTCGCGTGAGACTTTCTGACAATGAATTAAATCGCCGCGCCCTCGACACTCAGGAATCACGCTCTCGCTTTAGCCTTTCTCACGATTTACTTGGCAATCGCGCTATCGCTCGAGACTTTCTCGCGACTCATGCAGGACTCACGCTTCAGCAACCTGCCTGCTCGACCTGGCCACCTGGGCCTGCCTGTCCGACCCGCCCGTCAATGTCTACCTGCCCGATCAGCCCGTCTGGTTCTGCCACGTGTTTCCTGATGCTAGCACCCCTCCTGTTAATTTCTATCGTGTTCCATCTTTCTCCCTCCCCCTTCTATCCGTATTTTCTTCCCTTGTTCCAGGGACGGCACCAATTACACGTGACAGGTAAGGAGTCTATAATACCCCAAGCGGGTACGATCGAAGACGAAGAAGTCGTGTATCGAGGATTTGGGATATACGTGTTGAATGGCACGCGAGCAAAGAACAATCAGTCTTACAATGATTGTTGTTGTTGCTTCTGCTCTTCTAGACGAGCGCGTTCAATTACTCGCAAAGTAGCTACTCGCAAATGGCCTGGATCTGCCGCGGGGGATCGACGATACATTACATCGAAGCAGACATGTGTTTTTCGGGCGTTTGCGAGTAGGCACTTTGCGAGTGGTGGAACGCGCTCGGTGGTCTTCGACAGGGGGGAATTGGGATAGATCTAACGATGTTGACCCTCCTCCTGCTCCTTTTGGAAGCGGCCAGGGGGTCTGCGCTGGATGGGCCCCAAGAGAATGGGTCCGAGGGGGGACGACTGCAAATTCGCTCAAATCTGTCCCCAAACCCATCTCTGGGTCGAAACTGAACCGTCTTTCGAGCCGCGTCCAGCCGTGGTGAAAACCTGTTCTGCCTCCTTTTCTCCCCCCTTTTTATGCTGCCCCGATCCTGTGCTGCAGCCCAACCGCTGGCTCCAAGACCATCTTCCTCTGCCTCCTGGGGACAAGTACGTTTCGTGACGTCGGCCCTTCGGGCTTGGGGCCAAATTTTCAGGCCGAGTAGTTCTCCGACGGTGCCCGGAAACGGCCTCCGGAGGCCAAAACATACGAAAACTGGCCGTCGCACATTTCGCTGCGTCCATCAAATCCCAGGACCTCCTCCCCTCCTCCTCCCACTCGGGAGCGGCAAAGAGGGGGGTGTCCAAGAGGGGGGGGTGCAAATCATGACCGGCGGCATGTGCGCGGCCCAGCGGGGGGGCCAGGGACGTAGTGAAACGAGGAGAGGCGCCGCGAAATCTGCGGAAATGTCATGGCCGACGCCATGAGATCCACCCCGCCCCCTAGTCATCACCCCCCGCTTTTCCGCCCCCGGCTCCCACCCGCGGCTCCCCCTCTGACGCCGGCGCGCCCGGTGCCGCAGCTCAGCTCCACGAAGGACGCCACGCACAGCAGGTGGGGGTTCACGGCGAGGCGGGACGCTGGGCGTGGCGCGGGGTTCGCCCCGTGGGGGAGCATCCCAACTCGGCCATCGCTCGGACGTTCACTCCCTGTGCTTTTTTCGGTTTCGTGCGTGGTTTTTCGCCATATGATTAAGGATGCTCCTCGATGGTCCTCGCCGAAAGTAAAATGCACACGTCCGAGCGATGCCAAGCGTGGGGGAGCATCCCAACTCGGCACAAGCACGAACCTCCGTTGTTTCTGCCTTTTGGGGCTCCTCGGAGGCCCTCGTCGCAACGGCTGGAGTCGCCTCGAGATTCTGATCGGAGCGCTTCGGGAATAACGATATCGGTATTGACAGAACTGACCCGAATCTCCGAAGACAGGGTTTGTTCAATCTGCGCGTTGTTCCTCAATTTCCGCCTCTTGAGCCCGTTATGGTGCCCTGGGGCCGTCAACAATAGATCGTTTGGGACCTCTGGCTGGGGCGAGACACCATTATGGGACCTCTGAGTGGGACCTCAGGGTATGACCTCGTTTGGGACCTCTGGTTGGCCTTCGTTCGGAACCTCTGGTTGGGACCTCTGGTAATGGTGCCCTTGAGTGAGAAGTCGCGTTGGGGGAGCGTTTGGGGCCTCTGGGGTCGCGGACACGAAAAACAGATCGACGCATGTCAGCGGTGGATGTTCCAAAAATGCGAAGGGAATCGGAACGAATCGGGACCCGCCTGGGATTGGACTGCCGACCTCCATCAGCCCAATGTCACAAATTGAACTCACCCACCAGAACCCAAAGTGTCAAGGCTCCTATACAAACGCTGCACCCTCTTTCATCTCTGCGAGGTCCTCTCCAGCAGTTCCAAGCCAAGTAATCAGATAGACGACCCCAATACCAAGCGCAGGACTTTTGGCGCGCAAATCCCCCCCAAAAAAATTGCCCGTGCCCAAGTTTTTGGTACTTCCATCAGCAACAACAACCTCATGACAAAAAAACGACCTTTCGCCGCAAAGGCGCCCCCCCTTGGACACCTCCTTTTTACAAATGCTCTTAACAGAACAAACATAAAGATGCCACTTCATCGCGGCACACTATCTTGCGGCACCTTGGGATTGGTGGAGAAACTGGCGGTGTTCAGCGAACAGGAAGGCGTCAGTTTGAAAATGCAAATGGGGCACGCGCGCGTGATCGCAAGAGAAGTGAAACGTGGCATTTCCCCCCAACAACTATAAACAACACTCGACTGACAGGGACGTCAAACCAATCGTCGCTGCAAGCTTGGTCAAACCGAAAGACCGAAAGTAGGAGTCGAGGCGCAAGAGAGTGAAAGTGGAGGTCGATGGCTGGGGGTGGATAAGAAGGCCGAATGGTAAAAGCTGGGCGTCGGAACGCCGAAGTAAAATGACATTACTCCGACGGCGCTGGCCATTTCGTTTTCGCCTGGCGGAGGTCCCCCCCCCGCTCTCTGAGTAATTATCATGCCCCTCCTCCTTGTCTTCGTCGTTGCATGTCTCACCCTCCCCTCTCCTCCTCCATCCTCCTCTTCCTCCTCCTCCTACTCTTCCTCCTCCTCCTCCCCCCCTTCCTCCTCCTCCTTTTTTTAACGTTCGACTAGCATGAGGTGTGATGCCTGTTGTTTTCTTGAGCGTGCGCAAACGGGGCCAAAAATCTGAAACCCGACCCGGTGCAGAAAATACCTCGTGGGCGCCAAGGGCAAAGCTGGAAATAATGGCGGCGACAAGCGTAGAACAAAACTAAGCGCCCACCAGGTAGTAAAGGGTCGCGCGTACAACCCTCGGCGTGGTCAAATCATCTGGAGAACCCTTTACCCAAATATTGTTTCGCTTTCTCGAATCCTCATCTCTTTCCGACTGATTTCCAATGCGTCTTCCTGCTGCTTGATAAGGAAGGCCATCCGTGCCTCTTCTCCCCACTTCTGGGACCGCCCACGATCTTCCTCGAATCGTTTCTTGGCGGCTTTCGCCTCGAAGTCTGAGTTCTCCTGAATGCATTGCCCACGTCGCTCAGCCGTCAGATCAGCGTGGTTCTTGCAATCGGGCTTGGAGCATCGAGCACAATAATCACATTTGGGAATTTGAAAGAAACTGCAGATGTCCTAAAACTACTGGGGCCACAATCGCTCGTGGTCGCCCCGCCCGATGGGAGTTCGCCCTGCTCTGCAAGATCGTCCGCCAAGGCTGGCGCACTTGCTGCTTCTTTCGGCGATGGCGGGCGCGCGCTCCTGATTTTGCTTCGCAGGCTCCATCCCAGGGGCTGGTTGGTTAGCTGCTCCGACGTCGCAGGCTGCGCCTCCTCCGGCACCGTCTTACGCCTGCCGACTGTCACGTTCTGAGCTTGCAAATAAATAGAGCTGATCAAGGGAGTTGGGACTGCATCATTAAGCATCACAGGTTGAAGCCGCGACGCGGATGAGCCCTCTCGCTCAGTCAAATCCATTCGCAGGTTGCGCTTCCTGTAGAGCAATCAAATTTACCTGCGCCGATGTTTGACTGGCAATGTCTTCGGCAAAATTGCCCATTTCTTCCTTCTCCGCGCGTGATCGGCGCCAGTGCGCTCCAAGAGGGTTGCCTGTTGCATTGCAGCAGAAGCCTTCTGTTGAACATGCTGAATCATCGCAGGGCCCCCATATGCCTGAACACGTTGAACTTGTTGGACTTGCTGAATCATGCGTGAGCCACCCTCTCTCGTAGGACCCTTCCGCTGGCTGCTCAGAGTTCTTCGCCGCGTCCTCAGCAGCCTGCAGTCGATGGCGCATATGCAATTCTTCTTCAGCAAATGCCCCTGCGACGTTCCTTCCCGTTTCCCGTGCGTTCCGTTTGGCAGACTCCCCCATGTCTTTCCTCTCGCTTTCAGTTGTTTCCACCAGAGACAGCTGAGCTGCCTCCGACGTTGCCCGTTGGCTCAGTTGCGCCGCTGCGCGACATGGAGCAACTTGTCTCTAATTCTGCATGTGCTGAAGCTGCTCATCCCCCTGCCGTTGGCACGCCTTAGCACGCTTGCATGCGCGCAGACATTTGTTGGCGGAGTTCCATTTCTTCGGCGACAATCCTCTCGGCTTCTCTTCGTTGCCACTCAATGAAGCAAGACGCCGACAATTATGTTCGGCCATCTCAATGCACTCCGAGCAAAACGAAATAAGACTGCACTGCGGGCGCGCGCGCCAGCGTCATCCGCAAACGCAGCGATGGCACGGGCCATCGACGCACCTCGCTTGCGCCGGGCATTGCTTTTCCTGCCGCGGGAGGGCATTTCGACCCCGGGGCCCCGCAGCTTGCCCGGATCGGAAGAAAACCCGATGACGAAGCGCGAGAACCCCGACCGCTTCTCGAATCTTCTCGACCGACCTTCCACGGAATAGGAACATCAACGGGGAATGGGGGGTCGACTGCCAGCCTGACGTTCAGGCGCGGCGACATCGCTTCATCGCGTGACCCCGCCGGCTTCTTGCATCACGGGACGAGCGTCGGCCTCTGACAGACTTCGAATTACGCTGGAAATCTGCATCGGCGGGTCTTGTTCCATGCTGATGTCGCCATGCATTTTAAGGCGTTTCGCCACTGGGGTCTCTCCAATAATGTCTCTCGCACGTTCTGCCCTGGACATCGCAACGCGCTCTCCTCCCTGGGCCGACATAATCTCGGAATTGGCACCATCGTCGTCTATGGCTGGAAGGTCGCGTTCCACATCGTCATATCAATGCACTGGTCGAAGCACTGCAGCGGTACAATATTGCTCTAACATGATCGGCTCATCAATGAGTGATATTACAAGAACATTCGGGGGGGAGTGGCTTACCAAGTCGGACGCAGCATTACTTGTGAATTCGTCGGCCGCTGCAGATTGCACAATCGCACTGGGGCCATCATTCGCGCCGATCGGCGCATTGGATGCAACTATTGCGCTCTCGGCCGATAACCAATTATTTGCCGGGGGAACAAGATTTCTGGAACATCCGGGATGCAAAGAAATGCCATGTTCGCATCGTGTCTGCTCTGGGCGGGCCACATCGACATGGCTGCAATAATCCTGTAAGCTGATGCATGTAGGACGCGCGAACGCGAGAGGAGGGGCGACGACGCGACGACGACACCAAATACTCCCCTTTTCACTGATGCCAGGCCGGCCCGCGTTGCCGGCCAAGCGCCGCGAATCAAGATGCAGCTGCGGCTCAATATTGCGCGGCAGCGAAAGGCGGCAGCGGCGGCGCAGGGGCAGCAGGGGAAGGAGTTGAACACTTCAAAACTGGCGACAGTGACTGGTTTTCCAAACCCCGCTCGGATTCAAACGTGGAAATGGGGGCCCCATTGGGAGGGGTCCCCGCTCGAGACTTCCTCGCGGCTCACTCACAGACGAGGCCCCTGCTCGAAACTTCATCTGCATTAGCGGACGCGCGCGCGAGTGATCGAGTGTGCGTGCATGGCGCTGATGACAATGATCACGATGACGAGAGCGATGATGAGAACGACGACGATGATGAGCGATGCGCGAGGAGTGACGAGTGCAGGCGGATGAGTAAATGAATGGGTGTGTGACTGGGTGAATGCTGATGCCGATGGCGATGGTGATGATGATGGTGATGATGCGGATGATGGCGATGACGGCGATGGCGGTGATGACGGTGGCGCGCGAATGCGCCATTGATTGGTGAGGCGGTAAAGGGGGGCAGGATCCCGCGCGGGAGACGCGCGGAGAAAACGCTATCCTGGCGATCTGCCCGACCAGATGCAGTCGTGAGTCTCGCAGCTTTGAATATCGCATTCGGCGGCGCTGCCTACGCGGCCGCGACGACCGCGATGGGGGGCGCTGACATTGGTGGAGGGGCGAATGCGAGCTGCGCCGCTGAGGCATTCGCTGGAGCTCCACGTGGGGCCGCGAAACGCGCATGAGGATTGCCGAAATGGGCGGCGGGGGCGCGCGCGCGAACGCCCCCACTAAGGCCTTCGGTGGAGCCCCCCATGGGGCCGAGCAGCGCGCGAGGAGGGCGCCGAAATCACGAGCGGGGGCACGTGCGAACACCGCGACC